GCTGGAAAAATATAGTTTTATAAATTTAGAGTAATATTATTTTAAACCAGGTATGTAAAGAAGAAAAAAGAAGTCACTTTATTGATGGGCAAAAAGGAGAACAAGTCTGACTTTGTATCAACAAAAACCTTAAGGTTTATAACAATTTATATATTTACCAAAATATTAAAAAGTAGAAATATAAATTTAGAGTGCAATTTTATTTTTAAACCAGATATATAAAGAAGGAAAAAGAAGTCACTTTATTGATGGGCAGAAGGAGAACAAGTCAAACTGGATGAGGTTCGTGAACTGTGCTAGAAATGAACATGAACAGAATCTGGTAGCTTTCCAGTATCATAACCAAATCTACTACAGAACTTTCAAACCAATATTGGCTCACTGTGAGTTGTTAGTGTTTTATGGGCAGGAGTATGCTCAGGAATTAAAGATTACTGATTTTTACAGTGGAGTTTTGCTGAAAAATACAAAGAAAAAAGGTTTGTTGATACTGTATTTATATTTTGCTACTCAGTTGCTACTTGTCATACAGTAGGATAAACAGTAATAAATTGTAGTCCTATTAAAATTTAATTGGTTTTATGTGTTAGATGGGGTACAGATCTGTGCCAATATTTGAATGGCTCTGTAGTCTCCCCTTGATAATAGGGTGCCAATGCCAAAGTGTTGTCTGTGCCCATTTTCTTCTTGGTCTACCATTAAATTTGTCCATGTTTATAGACCTTTTGTGTAAACCATTTCCAAGACTTTCTGTATGTATAAGCCTATTTATGGAAAAGCAGCTGGAACCAGTGCCGATTTAAGGCTGTAGTTTGCAGTGCCCTTGCTTTACCACTTGGCCAATTGACTCGCCAACATTACAACATTTGAGGAGAAAAACAGTAGAAAATCTCTTCAGTACTTACTAAAGCTAAAGCACAAATTGAACTTTATCAGGGGTTTTCCAAGGCATTAACACATTTAAAATGAGTTGTTGCAGACATTGAAATAAAATTATAAGATTGCATATAGTGAAAACTAAATTATTTCCATCTGTCTAATTTGTAATATAAATGATTTATATAATGCTTCTAAGAATAAAAAATTTAATGTCTTTTAAAAATTTCTTGACGTTTTACAAATTTTATCACAGACAGTCGGGGCGGATCCAGTGGGGGGACCATAAGGGCCCGTGCCCCCCCCCCCCCCCCCCCCTTCAGTCAAGCCGAAAAATAAAAAAAGAGGGTGACAATTTAGAGTTAAAAGAGAGGAAGAGCTAAGAAAGGAGTGCACTCATGAGTTCAGTTGCGATACAGCAGTGGGCAAAAGGAGAGCTTGATATTATCATGGAGGTATTATTGAGAAGGAGATCAATCGGCAACAGATCCCTTTGACGCGACAAACCTATGTGTTCCCCACTTTTGGATCGCGCACTGGCGTATTACCCTATAATTCACAATTTTTCGTTAGTAACAACTTGGCAACGACATGCATTTATACGCTTCCAGCAGAGCAGTTGTGCAATAAAACGTTTGATTTTAACCCATTAAATATCTTTATAATGAACAATGTTCCCCTGATTAGAT